CTCAAGCTCCACGCAGTAGCTGTGAAATTATCACAAGCATATGGTATGTACTTGAATTAATTTTATGCAGTTATGATTTTATACTGCATCTTTGATTATATTCCCTCAACTCCAAGTGGCATACTATGATTTCTATCTGTATCTTATAATATTAAATTTTAATATTTGATAATCAATTTATGTGTTTATAGCAATAAACAATGACATAGACTATCCTCTACATATATTTTGTATATTCATATATTTTTCTTAACTCTTTATATTTCTAAGTTATTGTTCGAAAATTTTCTCAAATTGTCAAAAATCTCCCAAAATGTGCACTCTGTACATGGGTCCACACAGGAGAAACACAGCTCTTCAAATGTCAAGTGTGTATCCAGGTGTGTCTGACACAAGGCCCTGAGGGAATCCGCTCCAGGGCTTAGTCTGAAATGCCCCTCCTAGCATCTGTGTCCTTCATGCCATCAAAAGTTCTGGGTTTTTTCAAGTATTACTGATGCCTAGTTATCTCCCCTACTAAACTAAACAGGGATTGTTCTGTTTCTATGCAAATAGTTTTCCCCCAGCATGCCATGTAAGCTTACTCATCAAAACCAGATCTATTGTATTTCATTATTGCATTTATTAATACTGTGGTATTGAAACTGAGACCTTCAACATAATAATCACATGCTCAAGCACTGACATTCACCCCAGAACTCGAGTCTTTTTCTGTATGTGTGTGTGTGTGTGTGTGTGTGTGTGTGTGTGTGTGTGGTACTAAGAACTAAACCTAGGTCCTTTGCACTAAGCTAGGTCACCAGCTGTTTTTAAATTTTGAGATAGGGTCTTGCTAAGTCTCTAAGTTGCCCAAGTTGGGCTCAAACTTGCCACCCTCTGGTCTCAACCTCCCAGACCACTGGGATTATAGATATGCCCATCCTGCCCAACTCGGGTCCATGTTTTGTTCACTGATTACTGTATATCAGTGATTACTGTATATTTTCCTTCTGAGAGTTTACAGGGGCAGGGCAGGTCTACTGCCAGCTTCCCATGACTGTTTTCCCTTCCAAGCCATCAGCTGCCTCCCAGTGGCCTTCTGGGAACAGGGGAGGCCCTGGGATGAAGGCAAAGGATGACAAGGACACGCAAGAGATATTCTTATAGGAGTGTCAGGCAGTTCGTGAGGAACGATGTCCGCTTTTCAACACACTGGGACAGCTTGTGGCAGCTTCTCAGAGAGGCTAAGGAAGCAGCTGGTGAGGATGCTCCAAGTTTTGTGGCACTTCAGTGCCTGATGCTCTGATTTTAGGGCTGCACCTGAACTTCTGCTGAAGCTCTGTAAGTTCGTCACGGCGCATGAGGGAGTACAAGTCCCTAATTCTGAATCAAACTCTGCATGTCCAGAACACATAAGCATGGCTTCTGCTTTCCTGACCAAACCCTGACTTGTCCACTCAGGGTATGTGAGTTTACCCAGCACCCTTTAAGATGTTTGTATTCATTCTCATGCTTTCTCTCTCCCTTTTTCCCTCCATGATTCTGTGGGGTCAAACCTAGGACCTTGTGCACGCTTTCTTTCCTACAAAAGTCAGTCCAGGGAAAAGGCATTTCTTATTTTCACATAAACCAAATTAATTTCACTCAATCATCCTTTAAGATATCAGGCTAGTTGTGTTTGTAAATGACCTATATTTGTGAATAGTAACGTATTTTGACAATAGTTTGTCGAGCAACTTCAATACTTTAAAATGAATCCACGCCTCTTAGCAGGTATCTTCACTTCTTATTGATAGAAGAGCTAAGACCTGTAAGAACCAATAGTAGCTCTAAAGTGGATCACATTTTTTATTTTGGAATAATGCTTAAAAAAACCAACATTTCATTCAAAGTTTCAGAACATAGTGGCTATTTTTTATAGCCAGTCTCATGAGTATTATCGGGGGCCACATCTTAAAATTTAGCTTTATACTAGAATGCTTGAATACGCATGGCTTGTATTTTTTTAATTTTAATTGCTGAGAACAATTTATTATGTTTTCCTGAAGATTTTTGCTCAGTCACTTCCGGCTTTTCCCAGTGAAGCTGATCTCAGTCTCTGCCAAAACCATTAAAATTGCTCACAGATAATACTAAGGGTTCAGCAGCAATGATGGCAGATAAAAAGAGGTGGGGGAGGGATGGGCTGACACTGCCAGCCGATGGGCCCTTCCCTTTGAGGACGTGTGGAGCAGGCTTCTCTAGCTTGAGTGTCAGGAGCACCAAGGTTGAAAACACAGAGCCAGCCAGGTGAGTTGGTTTATTCCTATGTGACATCATTTTGGAGGCAGAGGCAAGAGGAAGGCAAGCTCAAGGCCAGCCTGGCCACATAGAGACGCTGTGTCAAAAAATAAAACAAGCAAAGTGCACATGTGCATGTGAACACACACACACACAGCAGTGCTGAGTGCTTGACTTACCTGGAGTTTGCATTGGTCTCTTTCCTAGAGAGCTGTGCTAGTTACAGACTGCTCATGGTCCCCTCACCTCCCTGGCCCAGCTGCCCAGGTCCTCTGTGCTTCATTTCCTACACATACAGCTCGGAACCCCAGACTGAGCAGCCCGGAGACAGTCGAACCACTGCCTATGTGTCTACTTATGCGCTTTTGCTGTTCTGTATCACTGTCCTGGAGCAGGGCCCACCCCTGCTCTACAGGAAATACAGGGACAGAGGAAGACATTTAACATGTACGGAGCGATGCGGGTTGGTGTCCCCAAGTGTGTAGCAGTTAAAAGAGCATCAGCACTGCACCAATGACATCATTCTAAAGGAGAGGACAGGGTGACATAAGGCTGTTCCTCATCAGCTGTGATGAACATCAAGTCATGTTACCTGAAGCTGTAGACACAATGACTGACACGTGGTAACAAGAGCCACAATCAGTGGAAACCAGGCCAGACTGAGCAATACGTGCTTTTCAGGAACAAAGAAAAAAACAGTAAAATAATATTACTGTTCAAATATGAGCTGTGTGACTTGAGCCAAAGCCCTGCACCTCTCTGAGCCCTGTAGCATTGTCCTCAGATAAATCAAACACCTGCACTATTTTCTCATGGGCTAATGTGAAAAAATACCTTCGCAAAGGTGCTCTGTAAATCATAAACCCATAAACAGCAGATAGCTAGGAAAGCCCCCTCGGAGGCTGCCACGCTGGCCCTGGTGAGTTGGAGTCCAGGTGAGGGGTCACACAGTACAGAGCACTGAGAGGCCCTGGTGTGGAGTGATGGTTATCAGAACCTGCATTCAAGCTGTAGCAGAATGTCCTAGAGCAATTATGCCCAAAACTTCTAAACAGAATAAGTTGAGAAACAGCCCACAAGCATTTTTGTAAAAAAAAAAAAAAAGGATACAGGAGCCAAATCAAATCTTAAGAACTGCATATGTCAGCAGCATGTGCTAGGCACACCTGCAACCCCAGTATTCTGGGATGCTGAGGCAGGAAGACCACACATTTGAAACCAGTCTGGGCAAGTCGGTGATTTAGTGAAATCCTGTTTAAAAATAACACAATTAAAGGGGATTGGTGATATAGCTTAATGTGAGGGCCCCAAGATTATTCTTAGGCCAGGGTGAAAAATAAAATAAAATTTAAAATTGCACATGCTTTGTTAAACCCCTTTGCTAGGGGCAGGCAGTGAGGAAATGGTGGCTCTCTCTGAAGAATAGTTTTCCACTCCCAAGCAGCCAGATTTGTGCACTCATAATATCCCCCAAACTTCACTGAACTCCTCTCTTGCCATTCTGGAATCACCTAGCATCTCTCACAACATACATATCAATCACACAGTGTGAGAATGCATTAAAGAAATCATTCACCCACAAGTTATTGTTTTTGTTAATGATTTGGTGATTCTGTAGAATGACAACAGGAAGAAGCAATGTCACACTAGGACCCAGAGCCAACAACACGCTCTGCTAGCAGGTGGAATTTACACAGGTAGTCAGGTTTCTGACTATGGAAAGGGAAAGGAGTTTCGATTGGACCACATTCAACAGGACATATGCCCGGAAAACCTGCTTTCCTCTTCTGATATAAAAAGAAGTTATATAAGCTGAACAAATGCTCCTCTCTTTCAGGAATGTCTTACACAAGTGGCACAAACTGTCAAAAGCCTCAGGGAAATAGCCAGTGGCGGAAATGTTTGCCCAGCGCTCAGCTGATAGACAAGCATTGCAAAACCTTCCCTGCTCACCCATGCCCTGCCCCCAGCACTCATGCACACCCCACACAGAGGCTGGGCCAGCTGGCCAGGCCCAACGCCACCACATCAAAGTGGAGCCTCCAGCACCCTTTGCCCTTCCGAGTTCCAGCCAGCAGTCAGGCCTGCTGCACAGAGCTGCGCCTCGGACAGCTCCTTCCTCCTTCCTCCCTAGCCCAGACCTGTTCCGAACACAAACAGAGGCCTCCGTCTCCACTATGGTTCCTCTGATAAAAGCCACATTGTTCCAAGCCACACTAGGAAAGCATTATAAATTGTACCACGGGAATAGCTCGTCCTCTGCAGAAAGCTGATTTGCACAGGCCAGTAATTCCAAGCTTTGACTCTAGGATACTCTAGGATTTATCAAGGGAAGATAGGCCATTTGGGCTTAAAAGCTGGACAGAGGGAAAGGACAGAAGGTAAACCATCTGTCTACACCCCAAGAATTAGGTCCTTTTTTCCTGGAAATTACTACTGAATATGCCTCAAGTAAAATCCAAATAACTCTTTCAGCTTGTTTGAGTGTGAAGAAAGAAACACATTTTAATTTTTCAAGTTATAAAGAAAGAACAGTGCATCTTCTCAAGTGTTGCCCAGCATACATGTGTGGTGTCCTGTCAAGGCTGGGTTAATTAGATTAAGGAGTAGGTATCTCCACTGTGGGTGCAAGGATTTATTAATGGAATGCTTATCTCATTCTGTAAAGTGCATACTATTTGTGGCGTGTGTTTCTGGAGGAAATTGGCCCTGCAACGAGAATGACATTAATAGTAGTGAACAACCTGCGTGAGCGTTCCCCGGGTGCCAGGTGCCGCTCTGGGCACCCCGCTCACTGCTCCTTCCATCCTCAGGGCTACCCACTTCCTTCCTGAGTAAGTCCTCCGCTCCCGCAGCTGGAGGGTGACAGGCGGCCTGCCCCGGGGAAGGGCTCTCTCCTCTGCCTGGCATCTGTGGCCATTGTTCCCAGCGACTTCCGCCACCTCGTCACAGGATGTCATGCCTGTGCTCCTGAAGCAAGCCACAGGACTCCTCCGCTCTTCTGTCTTGTAAGTCAACACAGATGTGCCTTTCTGAGAGATGGCTGCGGGGAATTTGTGCGTCCTTTCTCTTCCTGGACTGTCCTCATGCCCTGTTGTCATTCATCTTCCCATCACAGACTGCAGCTTGATGAATGGGCTTCCCAGCTAGTGACTAATTGTGCCCCAGGGCAGTACTTCATAAAGATATGGGGAGGCCAAGAGAGAGACAGAGACACCACAGTGAGAGACAGAGACAGAGACAGAGAGAGACAGAGATAGAGACAGAGTTCTCCAAATGACACTACTGTAGAAGCTGTGAAACACATAAAAGCATAAGTTATGAAATCAAATAGTTCTGGGTCAGAATCCTAGCTTTATTACTGACTTCTCTGGGTCCTTAAAAGGATTAATCTCCTCAAGCCTCAGTTTTCTCATCAGTAAAATGGGAATAATGACACAAATTGAGCATCCCCAATCCAAAATCAGACACTTTTTGAGGGTCCATATAACATCACAAGTGGAATACTCCATACCTGAATAATTCATGTGACAAGTCACAGTCAAAACACAAACACACCAAAAGTGTGTAAAATCTCCTTCAGGCTTTGTGTACAAGGCACATGATGCAAATGGACTAAGTTCTCAGAGCTGTGTCCCACTGCACAAACACATCACCACTGATTTAATAGTAGTACTCTATGATGTGATCTAGGGATTCCGTATTTAGACGGATTCTCCAGGAACCTAAACTTCAGTTTCTTAAGGAGGCCTTTGCAGGGCTACCACTGACACATTGTCTATAATAGCTAAAGTGAGGCGAATCCTTAGAATGTGACTGTACCGAACGACAGTGCTTTAAAGAAGTGAATAAGGTAGAGGTTCTTCAAGTTGGCCCCAACCCAGTGGAGATGGGTCACAGATAGGCACAAAGCAAAGACAGGGAAAGACACAGGAGAGGGGCAGGAAGCCAGGGAGAGAGACCTCAGGAGGGTCCAACATCACTGGCATAGCTCCTCCAGGACTATAACAAACAAAGCTCTGCTGGTTAAGCCACCTAGCTTACGGTACTTTGTTAAGGCGGTCATAGCAAACTGGTATATTAGCAGCTTTATTATTAACCTGGTGTGCGTTCATTGGCTTAATCATGATCCTTGGTTCATGACACTTGTCATTATTGGGTTGTAAATGTTCTGTTTATATTTAATGATTAACTTGTTGTCAATAGGCTAATAAACATCTGTAAGCATATCTCCCAGAACACAATTAGTAGAAAATAATTCACATCTAATTACAAAGTCTCCCACCAACTTTACCCCTGTCTTCTAAGTGTCTACAAACTTGAACGTAAATAAAACGTAGGATATTCATACAGTCAGATACTACACAGAGTGAAAATAAGTGAATTATAGTTATAATTACTAACATGTACAAATCTCAAACACACATTAGCCCTGGGGAAAGAGAGATGAGAGGGAAAATTAGAATTGGATACAGAATTTCAGTTATATTTCTAAAGCTTTATTTCTTAGATAGAATACTGGAGTGCAAACATTTATTATATTAGCTATGCTTTTCTTTATGCCTGATTATTGCATAACAACAATTTCATAATTTTTAAAGTACATTTCAGCAGCATTAGAGGGAGAGGACCAGGAAGGGGCAGTAGCCAGGGAGGAACCCTCTGGCCACTGCTGTCCCTCCCTGCTCGCCCCCCTTTAAACAGCTAACCAGATGCATGAGGGTGGTACCTGTCTGTGACACCCATGACCTTGAACTTCCCTGAGACTGTCCTAGTAGGTTCACGGCCAGGCTGCTACAGAAGTCATCACCCACACCCCAGTAGTCGGGCAGTATCTTGCCACACGCCACAGAAGTGACTGTAGGTGTAACCGTGTGAGAGTACTTTTCCCATGCCAGCCAGAGGGCAAAATAAATAAAGCAGGAAACTAACATTGATCTAAGAGTTAGTTTGGGGTTGGGTTTGGTTTGATATTGTTCTGTGTTGTTTTGGTTTTGAGACAGGGTCTCCTTACATAGTTCAAGCTTCCTATGAACTCACTGTGTAGTCCAGGCTGGCCTTGAGCTCACAGTGATCCTCCTGCTTCAGCCTCCCAAGAGCTGGGATTATAGGGATGTGCCAACACCCCCAGCCCCTGCCCTGAGAGTTTTAACTCATTCTAGACTAAGCCACCAAAAAGTAAATTCTGCCTAACTGAAAGCACTAACAACTCACTGAAAATGCTAACTGTAATATCCCTCATTAAGAAAAGAATCAACCAAGCATTAATTCTTTAAATGAATAAAACCAAACTGAGTATAGTGGTGCAAGTCATTAATCTCAGCACACACCTGGGGAAGCCGAAGCAGGAAGATCACAAACGCAAGGCCACACAAGGGCAATTTAGATTCTGTTTCAAAATTTAAAAATAATAAAAGACGTTGCGGACTTAGTGAGTGCAGAGGCCCTGTGTTCAGTCCCTAGAACCCCGACCACCACCACCCCCTGAAACACTGCACGGTGAAGCAGAAAGAGCTCAGAGAAATGAAGTTGAACACAGCCTGCGTGGCTCTCAGGGTTGGTGTGCTTTTCTTAATTCAGGAACCCTGACCACTGGTCAGGGCTTTATAGAGCTGTCCACGGGGACACACGCACAACCCCGGGACAGGGCTGCCCCGTAGCGTGTTCCTCGTGTTCATAGACCTATCTCTTCTCCCTCGGACAGACAGAGCATCCAAGAGCAATGAAGAGAAGCCCCACGGTTGTAACCGCCACTACGCTGGGACCCCTTAAAGTCTTCAGAGCTGCAGCCATGGCAGGAAATAAAGAGGAGGGAAGAAAAAGGGAAGTTATTTGTGTAATGGTGTCCTGATGGCTCTAGAAGAGGAAGTGGCAGACCTTTAAACATCGTTAAGATGCTACATAAGGAGAAAATATCAAAATGAAGATACTATACCTGGGCACGGTAGGGCACAAATGCAATCAGGCATTTGAAAACAGATTTGTAGATAACATACTGTTTTAATCTCAGAATTTAAAAAGTAATTGTTTAGCAAGAAATACTCCAGGATATACAGGACAAATAATAATCTATTTGAAGATCTCCAGGGATGGAAGTTACCCAACTGTTCCTAACGTTTTGTAACTGTGATGGTTAGGGATTGTTTTTCAAGTTTAGTTGACGTCTTCCTGATTTAATTTGAAATAATGTCCTCTTGTCCGGTCATTAAAATTATAAAAACATTCTTCACCATAAAAACCAATATAAAGATACCACTAAAACCACATAGTCATCCCTTTTACAAGATTGAGTTCCTTAATTATTTATTTGTTTGTTTCTATTCAGTCCTGGCAATTGAATCCAGAGCCTTTACACTGTTACATCTCCCACCTCATCCCTACCTTTTTAAAAATTTTGAATCAGGGTCCCACTAAGTTGCTTGCTGGGTTGTCCTGGCTTGACCTTGCCATTCTCTTGCCTCAGCCTCCCAGAGTATATGACATAACATCTGAAAATGTTACTTTATTATTAAATTCTAATTCTAACTATGCAGTTTGGGGATTATACATTTTTCATTCATCATTGTATGCAAAACAGTTTCCCACATTATTTATTACTCTGTTAGTCACTTTCTTATTGTTGGAACAAAATCCTCAACATCCACAATTTAAAGGAAGAAAGGTTTATTTTGGCTCACAGTTCTTAGAGGATTCGGTCCAGGCTCTGCTGGTTCCAAGGCAGGAAGGGCACGGTGGAAGTCTCGTGGACAAAAGCAGCTCGTGTCCTGGCAGGCAGGAAACAGAGAGCCAGGAGGAAGGAGCTGGGGAGGAGACAGGCCCTCCCAGGTCCTGCCCTCAGTGGCCACCTCTTCTCATCAACCCCATCTCCTAACGGCACATACAGCTTGGTCTTTCAGTGAATTAATTTACTGATGAGTAGATTCCCCCTGTGATCCAATCGTGTCCCACAGGCATAACCTCTGAATACATGAGGCTTTGAGGGGCCATTCTAGCTCTAAGCTATAACACCCTAACATTATAGTGTTCCTTCAGTATTTGTTCATTTCAGATTTTTGTGCACAATAAACAACCATATGGTTAACAGGATGCCTATCGGTTACCAGAAAGTATGTTGCAGGTTACACTCCAGTGAGAGCAACCTGCAATCACTTCTGCCTCAGCCACTCTAAGTATTCACATTCAAAAAAAGCTTTTGTCATCATGATTAGCAGAGAAATTATATTCCATCCTGGTTTCAACATGAAGAGCTGTTACATAAGCTGGCCATCTTTTTGCAAAGTTAATTCACCACATCTGGGCTGCCCTACCAAGCTCAGGGAAGAGCTTGCCTTCTCCGGAATCCTCCTCGCCACCTGTCTCTGAGGAGACTCTTAGGAGGTAGTCCTAACTCAGACCTAGGTGTTAGCAATCAAAGATAGACAAGGACTTACTGAGATTAAAATGCATCATATTAGGTTAATATCAATTATTTACACCATGTTTTCTCTTTTTTAAAAAATAAATGAAAATCCCAGGGATAGGCAGCTGGAGAGACTGGTTTACCAAGCAGATCTACTTTCTCAGGAAGCCTGAAAATTCCCATGAAACAATGGAAAGTAATTGGATGAGGGGATTCTTTAGGGTACCACAGCATTAGAACTCCTGTGTTTATCCAACCACATATACATCATGCAGTGTATATGTATTTAATGATAGCAGTTCTTATTCATGAAAGGATGAGCCGTAGCAATGAGCCTTAGATATTACAAAGCCATGGTAGGTTTCCAAGGAAATATACAGCTTTTTATTTGTTAATAATAGCCTATGAGATTTCATCAAAATGGGATATTTTCCACTCTGGAAGGATGATGCAGGAGGATTGCAAGTTTGAGGCCAGCCTGGACAGTATAGCAACTTGGGGACACCTTTCCTCAAAATAAAAAAATAAAGGACACAGTACAAAGTCGCTAGTATTGAAAAAAAGAACTAATATTTCTAAGACAATTAATGAAGACAAAGGATAAAAATAATCTAAATAATATATTAAATATTACTCATATGAAGGCTACATGCTAATTATTATTTTGAAAAGTTCAGATCATAAATGAAGTACAAATATTTAATAGGAAATTATCCATATTTTTAAATGATAGCCCTTAAACAGACTTTAAAGAACGAATTTCTACCACTTTTTGGTCACCCATCCTTAGATGAGCACCAAGGCCTTAGTCTTGGTCTCTCTCCACTTCCACAGTGTAAGTGTTTAAGGAGCTTCTAGACATGATGGAGTTTCTGGAACCAAAGTAGCCTTCCCTTCAAACACTTATAAAACTGAACAAAGTAAATCTTTCCAGGAAATGGAGAACAAGAAATGCGAGACAATGATCCTGAAACAGAAACACAATACTAGAATCCTAGAATCTCCCAGCTTTCTGTCTGGCAAATATTTCCTGAACAATATGAAGCAAAACGAAGTCTGTGCAGGGTGTAATACGTGGCTGCTCTGAGCAGGCAACAAGCAGAACGCAGGACGGCAACGGGAATGGGGAGAATTTGCAGGGCAAAGCAAACCGTGCAGGAAGAGGGCGCTGGAACCTGGGTAGGGGTCACCAGGAATCCATAGTTACACAGGCCATGTCCCCTGAGGCTGACCAGACAGCAGCAGCTAGAAGCTTGGGAACAGAACAGAGACATGACAAAAGTTGAACCCTGATGGGGAATGTTGAAGCTCTAGCCCCGCTAGAGAAGGGTGTTAAGGTGTAATTAACACCGCATTATCATCCTTGAAATTCATTTGAGACGTATTATTCAGATCTGCTGTAAACTTGCTCTATTCAATCTAAGATCTCACTCAGACAAAATCTACAAAGATGACAGGGTTTAAAGATTAAGGCTCACCAGATTAAAGGAGTTCAGGATACACCTGAAGGCTTTCTCAAGACCCATGTGAGTCCAGGGTGACTGGCCACAAGCAGAACTGCCAGGTTAATACAAGAACCAATATTCTATGTAGGAAGTAATGTCTACACCTTCTTACTGGCAATGTTCAAGACCTGCAATTGCTCAGAAAGTGGATTTAGTACACAAAATTTAAAGGCAACGTTTATAAGTATGTTTAATGAAGTCAATGGAAATATGTTCTAATGGTTAAAGGAAAATATAGTAACAATGAATGAATAAATAGAGAAATTCAAAAGATAATTCAATCAATAAAAAATAAAACTGAGGCTTAAAAGTAAAATAATTGAACTTTTTTTAAATCAAGAGATCAACACAACAGCAGAGTAGGTGCTACAGGGGAAAAAAGAACAGTCAGTAAATTTGTGGACCAAAAGAGCTACATAAACAAGGGTAAAAAAATTACATGGACAGAAGTTCAGCAACCTACAGGACAATATAAAGTAGTTTGATATATGTCTGGAGTGCTGGGTGGAAAGGAAAATGGGACCAAAAAAAAAGATTGAAATCTGCAGTATCTAGTGAAAGCATTACCCAAGTCCCACAAATCCATAAACAACCAAGGAAAGACCCACACAGGGGGACCTCACAGTCAAACGGCTCCAAACCCTCCAAACCGAAGACTGAGAAAATAATGGAAGCAACCAGAGGAAATAAAAGACACAGTGCATCCATAATAACGAGGTAAATAAGATAAAACTGTGTCTGACATCTCTTCATAAAGAGTGGAGCTGAAAGAACAGGGGAGTAGGTACAAGGAAAAACATTAACACAAAACAGTATATCCAATAAAAATATTCATTAAAAAAAAGAGGTGAACTGTAAGGCTGAGGCAGGAGGATCAAGTTCAAGCCTACTCTAGGGGACTTAGGAACCTCGCAAGACACTGTCTCAAAATAAAAAGGAAAAAAGGACTGGGGTGTAGATTAATGCAAATGCTCTGGGTTCAACCCCCAGTACCACTAAAAAACAAATAACGGTAAGGCTGGGGATTTAACCCACCTGCCTGGCAAGTGTGAGGTTGAGAGTTTGATGTCTACTACCAAAAATTTTTTTAAAAAAGAACATTTATAAAAGGAAAACAAATTAGGATAAGTTGAATTTTCAGATAAAAAAGACATGTACCATAAAAACAAAAGCGAGACAAACTAACAAAAAAACTTCAATTGCCCTTCAGCCAAATGAAAATCACATCTACTGAAAACCCGGGTCCACAGGTAAAGATGAAGAGTTCCAGAAATAATAAATGAAGGGCTTGCCCATTTAACAAAACCGTGCTTTATTTCTTCTTATAATTTCCTTAGAAAGTTACTATTTAGAGTAAAACCCTGTCCCAAAACCCAAAAAAATAAATAAATAAAAGAATATTTGCTTTAGTAATAATACTATTATAATAAACAATGGCATGGTGAAGGCCAGTAATATTATTTTTCCTTTTGGGGACTTTCACCATTAATTATAAGCCAGTTTTATGGAATCAAATAGAATACATTTTACTTTAACCTTAATAAAATAAATTTAATTGTGCTAAACTATACTTGAATCTTTAAAGCTATTTTACCACAAATGAGAGGAAAACAGGATGTGAGCAGACAGAGCTGAGCATGAAACGGCTGGTGCACCACAGGCGAAGCCTGGAGCTGGTGTAGAGGCCATTTGTTCTCTGACTATTCACTGTCTATTCCGAGAGAAAATTATGTGCAGACCTAAGAGTGCCTCGGCTGGCAATTGCAGTGTGATTTAGAGCCAGGTGTGCTAATGCTCTCAGGAGGCTGAGGCAGGAGGATCGGCATGTGTTCAAGGCCAGGTGGGCCACGTAGTGAGATTCTGTCTCAAAAAGAAAAAACCAGTGTGAGTTAGATTACTTATATTTCTCCTCTTTTGAACACTCTTTTGGTTCAAGTCTCCTATTTCTCCAAATCCTTTAAAGGTAGGCATGGTGGCACATGCCTGTAATGCCACCATTTAGATTGCCTGAGGCAGAAGGATTGCAAGTTCAAGTCTCATGTGGGCAATTTCATGAAGGCCTATCTCAAAATAAAATTCAAAGGGGTGGGGATGTAGCATAGTGGTAGAGTACGCTGGTTTTGATCTTCAGTACAAAAAATAAAAGTTTGAAACTTATGGCATAACAAATCAGTGTACAGTACAACCAGCTCTGTAATCACTAAAAGACTGGTCGGTAGACACCATTTATTTTATTTTTTTGTATCAATTAGCATTAAGTTTAAAACCAAAGTCTAAAGTCATTTGACCTGCCAGTCACAACCCCTCCTCAACCACAGTTGAGCGTCACCTAATTGTGGCAAGCATGGCATTGTCACATCAGCCCTCACCTAAAACACCATCATGGTCATCAAAAGTCATTCCTTTTAAATAAGATGATTTTGTAAAATAAATTAAATGGGGAATAAATCAGGACTTACAGAAAAGTTGCTATATTATGACAGTCATCTCCATACCTTTGCTCAGATTTACTTGTGTCAACATCTGTCCCATTTTCTTGATGATTCCAAACCTTCTGAGGATAACTTGTACACCTCTCAGCGCTGTGCCTGAGACTCTTCAGAAAGAAGTCCTCCTACCTGCTTGGTGCAGGATCGGTCTGGTAAAACTGCAATCTAGCCTCCCATCTGCATTCCAAATTTGTCTTCTGACTTGATCATGTCTTTCAAAACATTTGTTCCTTAAGAATCCAATCCAGTCTAAGATTGGTTAGTCCACTTAACTGTTAATGACCCTTTTAATTTTGAAAATTTTAAAGAATTAACAATCTCTCTCTCTCTCTCTGTCTCTCTCTCTCTCTCTGTCTCTCTCTCTCTCTGTCTCTCTCTCTCTCTCTCTCTCTCTCTCTCTCTCTCTCTCTCTCTCTCTCTCTCTCTCATTTCTCCCTCTTTAGTCCACAATGGACTTGCACTCCCTACGTAGCCCAGGCTAGTCAGGAACTCACAGTGATCCTCCTGTCCCAGCCTCCAGGATGTTGGGATTACAAGTGTCCACTGCCACTCTGCTTCAGTTCTCTCTTTTTTTAAGTGGAATGTTCTCCATTTAGAGTTGTCTGCAGTTTCCTCACATTAAACTGAGATTATGCATTCCTGGCAGGAATTCCTTATAAGGAATGCTACCTCCTCACAGTCTCCATAAAAAATGGATATTTTTAATTAAAAAAAAATTTTTTTTTGTCTTTTTATTGGTACCGGGGATCGAACTCAGGACTGCCTACTTGCAAGGCAGGTACTTATGCCACTGAGCTAAATCCCCAGCCCCAAAAAATATTTTTGAAAACTAAATATTTGACTTTAAAATAAGCTCCTACTAATTTAAGATGATTTTTCTAAAGCAAGAGAAATGTTTTCATTAAGAAAATAATTTTTATGTTTCTAGGACAGGTAGCCATCAAACATTTCATCCGTATATTTTCTGAGCCTTTTTGCTAACTGCGTTTGCTGTGTGCCCATATGACAGTCACGCATTCACACAAGGCTTTCGTAGCTATAGAGGGAAATGCCCAGAACCATGTGTATAATATTCATTAAAACACTTGAAATGATGTTTTGTTTGTTTATAAAATATATTTGCAATTAAACACTCCAAAATGAAATATTTGCATTTGCCCCATGTTGCTTTCTTTAGCCATAACTCTCAGTAAATTAAAGTATGGGTACAGCAGACATTAACACTTCTTTCTCTGAATTGACATTCAAACTACCACTAAATAACATGATTTCATGAGACTTAAACTCTAAGTTATTATACTTCTGTTTTACAGATGAAGTCTAGAGAAAAAGTACAGCCTGACAGCTGTTTTCAGTTCATTGCACTTTTTTTAAAAATGACATTTGTTTTCAATTTGTCTATAAATAATGGAAGAAAACACAGCTGAGGGGCCCAATGTGATTTTTATAGAAGATTCATTTTTGGAAATATGATAAGCTTATAACCACATATGTTTAAAATCACTCTAGTATAAAATTCAGAAACTTGAGGTGGGGGAATCTCATGTCAGGCAATTTGGTGTTTATTTTATTCGTCTATTACTTAGCACTATTTGTCACATTTTGTGGTTTTAGACATTTCAGGGCAAAAATTTTAAGTACATATTAAGTTTGGCAACGCTCATTACAAAACTTTAGCATGTACATGTTGCTTATTGACTGTACTCTGAGATTGTAAGTGCATGGGCAAAGATTTCTGATAAACGTATTAATTATGTAAGATGGGAGAATACACATGTGCCTTTGAACCTATTGGAAGTACAGTAACTGAGCACAAGCACCAAACTGTATATGCACAGGTTTGTATGGCTAAGAACATCTGTCTTAGGCAAGGCCTCTGAAGGGCTAAACTTGGCAGTGCAAAGCAAACAAATAAGAAATTTTTAAAATACTGAAGATAAAAAATTCTGTTGGACAGAAAATCCAATGAATAGAATTTAATTTTTTGTGTACTATCAATTCTTAAGTACATGATAACCAAGTAATACATCTGGCCTAATTTTCTGCTTTAGAAGCTCAAAAAGCAAATTCCAACTGGAAAAATTTGTTACACACATTAATGCAAGCAATGGAGTTTCCTTAAATTAAGATGAACTGAAGTTTGACTGCTGGCTAGGGTATACAAGAGCACTCAACAAGAATTTAAAACCTGCCTTAAGTAGTTCTAGAAAATTATTCATTAACAAATATCTTTATTAACATCACGCCTCCTATGATACAGTCCATAAAGGGGAAATGTTCACAGACGAGGATGACAGGGTACAAACTTTGCATTTAATCTTCAAAAGTAAGTTTCTCTTGGTTATCTCTGAATACTTCACAGAAAGAAGCCAAAAGAGCTATTTTCTAGTTTCCACCTATTGCTTTAAGAAGATGAGCATAAAATAGAATTATTTCTTCCAAGCTAGTCCAGTGTGACTTCTGTCCTTTGGGCATAGAAGTGGGAAGATAATAAGCTGCAGGGTCGCCCCAGTTTAAGTCATAAGAAAGCATGACATGTTCCATTATTCCTTTGCTAAAGAATTCTTCTATAATTATCAACAGGTTAAATTCCTTATTAAAGGATTTCACAAAGACCTCTTCTAAAGCCAAATGAGTGGAAACCGGTCATAACTGAGCAAAAGCCATCCGACAGCCGGAGACTCAGCCTTGCTATTGTTTATGGAAAGATGCATGAAGGCTGACTTTGTCACAGTTGTTTTCCTTGGGTTTTGAATATTTTTGCAAACCGCTAAGATACAAATGTCACACAAATGAGTAAGAAAGAGGATTTCCTTCTGAACACAATTGACAGGGCAGGTGCAAAATAAAAGGGAATGTATGTGACGATCAAGGAAGGACACACTTCAGATTTATAAAAGGTTACTCACGTTTCTCATCAGGTGCACACAACTGCCTTAGATAGAAAGCATCAGAACTCACGGAACAGCCAAGCAGCTAGGAACGTGGACTTGGAAGCTGACCAGTAGTTTCAGTTCTAAATTTACCACTAATCTGCTCTGTTTCTGCGACATACGACTGAACTCTTTTTAGCTCCTCAAAAGAAATCGTGATGAATTTACCTCTAGATCCTTCAGTTAATTTCATGAACTTAAAACATTGCCTGGCTCAAAGAAGTATACAAAAAATACTCAATATCTTGCTTCCTCAAACAACAAAATATAAGGGAACATGTTTGCCGAAAGTCTCTTTTCACCAAAGACTGGCTGTTGATTTGATTCCATGCAGCTACTCTGATCCAGGAATATGTGTTTGGCCTGATTTTCCTTCACAAAGATCTTTATGTTATTGTTATTGTTATTGTTATTGTTATTGTTATTGTTATTGTTACTGTTACTGTTGTTACTGCTGCTGTTGGTGTTAATCAAATCCCTGTCTGGTTTAATAGCATATTATTAAGCAAAGATACAACTCCAAAGCAATGTTGGATTTAAATACCACAAATCTCCATTTTAAGTTTTTGTTTTTTTGGGTTTGTTTTGTTTTGTTTTGTTTGCAATAGAAGGTATTGAACCCAGGAAAGCTCTACAATGAACTACATCCTTAGCCTTTTCTGGGTTTTTCTCTGAGACGGCGTCTCACTAAATTGAGCAGGCTGGCCTTGCATTTGTGATCCTCCTGCCTCAGTTTCCAGAGTATCGGGGATTACAGGCCTAAGCCGCCATACCCAGGTCCTCCACATTGTCTTATATCGACAGTCAACAAGTAGTTCCACTGCAAAACCTCCACTTCCTTCCATATGGCACACACCAGTACTCTTTGTGGAATTGTCAGAATCAAAGGTGAAGCATCCAGCAGTAGCAGCAGTCTGATGAGAGCGAGTGACCTCGCTGAGCCTGTCCTTAGCACTTCGCTAGTCTCAAGAAGGAAACATATTTGAATCTTCTAGTCTTGTTAGAGATACTAGATTTGAGCTGGGCAGGGTGCATGCCTACAGGTGCAGGTGCCAGCACCTTGTGAGTATGAGGCAGAAGCATCACATGTTCGAGTCCCACCTGGGTAATCTATGTCTGTAATGGGGTTGGGGCCATAGCTTAGTGGCAGAGTACCCACGAGTTTGATCCGCAGTCATCTGAACTAATGCAGAGCCCCTCCAGCCCTGCCTTTGGTCATACCTTCCTCATTTAAACTTCCTCTATCACACCAGCTACGGAACTTGCGTTTCTGTAGGCTATTCTGCTCAAAGGTATAGACCCGTACATTTGGACGTCAAGCAAATTTAGGTCACTCCCTCTCATTAGACTGCTGCTACTGCTTGATAATGATTTTTCTTCACCTTCGATTCTGACAGTTCCATTAAGAGCACTGGTGTATGCCATATGGAAGGAAGTGGAGGTTTTGCAGTCAAGAGCTTGAACTTTATTATGAGCTTAATAAGTAAACATGAATATTTTAACCTATTGAGAACAACGATGACTCCCTGGCACTATTCTGGGTTTGAAGGAAGTGTATACAAAGTGTTACTCTGTGTCTTGCTCATAGAAAACAACATTTTTTCCCGGGCCTTCTATCTGTCCTACTCAGAAAACTCTCTCGAGTATCACTTTACTAATAAAATGGAAATCACCCTATTCATACAGTCTTGCTTTGATTTGATCTTTTTAAATCACACTTCTCTGTCTCTTTTTCCTCCTCCTGCCTTGTGAAAGACCTATCTCTTCTCTCCAGAAAAACTCCTCCATTCAATCCATATTTCTTTAGTAAGCAATGTCAGCTGTATATTATGTACTAAGAAAAGTCATGGTATCTGTGAATAGAGACAAGGGAGCTGGGAGCTGCCCTTGAGGTGCACGGGGTGATGCGTGGACTGGCAGGTAGACAGTCAATCACACAAACGGGTGTGCAGGGACCATAACAGAACCAAAAAGCAGACTAAGACAACCTAAGTTTTCTGTCTTTCCATCACATCACACTCAAAAAACCAAACCACTTAAAAATGAAACTTCTGTCTCCGGAAGTCTACTCACCTGGATTCTGTTGCAGCCAAACCATACATCTGAGTCTTCAAGGTCCCAAGACCCCGGCCACTCGCATTTGAGAGCACAAGCACCACTTATAAGTTTAGGCAACCTGCTTCACAATCACAGAGCATCCCACCACAATTTATCCAGACAAATTACTTTTCATTGCCATGCCGGGCTCACCAACACCTTTCTTACAGTTACAGTTAGGCCAAAAATAGTCCAGGTTCTTGCGTATGGAACAGGCAGAAGAACAAAGGGAAAAGGGGGAGAGAAAGGAATCCTCTGTAACTCAGGCTTCCAGGACTTAAAGGGTGCGACACCTCTAGCTCCAGAGGCCTCCCCTGTGGTCAGAGACCTCTGAGCCTCCAGTGCCTCCCATTCCATCGTCCACTGGGGCCAATGTCTGCTACCTTGGGCATGACAACATTCTATGCTTCAACGTGGATAATAATTAGGGTGTTGCTGTATTTTCAGTAGAAAGAAGGGGAAGGAGTGGCTTCCTCAACTTCCCTAAACTATTTCCCCCTGAGAGCCCTGCTCCCCAAAAATCTTTGATGGGAATTGAAGGAAGTTCTACCTTCTATAGACACTTCCAGCTGAACAGAGTCATTGGACACCAAGGACACCAAGGAAGTTTCCATCCTAACTAATCTAGGAGTTCAAAGGAACTGAGCACTTCCTCCAAGGATTTCTTGATGAAGTAGATGTGGAAGCAAGATCTGATCTCGAATTGTGGTCCCCACCAATAGTGTGATGGCTGCCAAACAAGAAACAAGTAAAAGTAAATGTGTAAGATCTAAATAATAAGACTATGAGAAGCATCCATAAAGGCCATGTCCAAGACAGTAACCAGGATCTCCAATTCCAAATATTTGGCCAGCACATCCATGACTCACATAGTTTTTCATGACTCTCAGAAGCATGGTCAGCCAATTTCTGCGTCCTCTGATTCTTTTAAACCTTTAGAATGACAAAGGAATTACATTCCTCATTTAGGGATAAACGTAGCCCCTCTGTTTCAGCTGTTAAAAGATCTATTCTATTCCATTGTTGTATGGCTGCTGCTGCCAGTGAGTCTATCAGGACTTGAAGGAAGGCGATACTCTGGTTAAGTCCATCTAGGGTGTTTGTCAAGTCCTTAGGTAGCTGTTGATGACAAGAGAAAGATGTGATTAGTTTTAAGGTCTCATTATCTCTACTACTGGCAGCATTTTAATAATCCCACATGCTACCAGAAGAAACAGAAAAGATGTCATGTTATGACTTGGAACAAGAACCTTAAGTACAGTAATATTAGAGGCTTACTCAGGGAGCCCAAAGGAGATTTTCAAGGGTGAGATTCTCAGGTTAAAGAACATCAGCAACAACAAAAATCATGGAGCAGAGCAGAGCACACAAGTAGCCTGTATCTTCATTGTACAATTCTTATACAGGTTGTTATCATATGTTTACATTCTTGGATAGTGCTGTAACCAGCACAGGCATGTTTACTGTCTCCTACTGTGTGCTTGTGATAGCATGGTCACATTCTCAGGTGTTCTTAGGACACCTCTGAGTTTTTTGAAGCAATCTGAATGGTTCCTCACAAGTACATTCATGCAGTTTACTTAGAGGAAGCAAACTGTTTTACTTATCTGATCCACCAAAGCGGTTGGTGTTTTCTGAAAAGAAATTTGAAGCCTTTATTGGTTCACAGGTGTATGCAGATATCTTCTAACACCTCAGGTGGTTTGAGTTTTCCCCAGGAAAAGTGAATCCAACTATTTATTCCCTTTATCTTAATGGCAGGAGTAGTTCGTAGAGTTGTGAAAGGGCCTTTCCATTTGGATGAAACTTGGTCCTGGTGTCCACTCTCTTTCCATGTCTTAATTAGGACTTCATCAGGAGGGACTGTGAGCTGACAATTATTGTTTATCCTTCTGTATTTCTAGAAGGCCTGTTGGAAAGTTCCTAATGGGTCATGTGTTGAAGGAGTTAGGAGGTTTCAGTGTCAATGAGTAGCTAAGTTGTCAAAAAGGTTCTCTCATATAGTATCTCAGATGGGCCAGCATTAAGTTTGGATTCTCGTTCAGCCAGTCCAAAGGAGACCTAGCCACTTATGGTGGGTTTCTTGACAAAACTCAGCTAAGGTTTATTTGAGAGTTTTATTGTCTCTGTTAACTTTCTAGATAACTGGGGCTCAACACAGTGTGGAGACAATACTTAATTCCCAGTGTCTTGAGAACTCGCTTTGTGATTTGAGATATTTAAAAGGGTCCAGTATCACTGTGGATGGATCTAAGCTGTCCAAACCTAGGGATTACTTCTTTAAAGAGTATGTCTTAGTTACTTTGCTCTCATTACTGGGACAAAATACTCAAAGCCCAAAATTAAGGAAGAAAGGTTTATTTAGCTAAGTTTGTGGACTTTTTAGTCCTTGAGTGGTTGGCTTCATGACAGGGTGGCATGGCAGAAGAGCAATAGTTTATGGCAGCAGAAGACAGCAAAAGAAACCAGAGCAAAAGGGGAGAAGCAAGAGAGCAAGCCTCTTTCCCTCCCTTACATTGTACGTAGGCTACCGGCCCAAGGCAGGCATAGCACTCGCACCCATAATCCCAGCATTTGACCATGAATCAATTACAGACTCTAGAAGCCCGCCTCCATGACTACATGAGGCTTTGGGGTTACATCTAGACAAAGCCATAGAGGACTTTTATCATCCCTAGAACCCATTCTGACCTGGTGGGGAAGGCCTCTATCTACCCAGTAAATGTGTCAGTGCATACCATGGCATAACCTGCCCTTCTAATGCCATGCTTTATGAAACTGTTACCATCAAAGAACAGTGTGTTAGCTAGTACTGTTAATGGCTGGTGCCCTAGATCAGGACAACCGCCATAATTTTGAGTGATGGTCTATCACACTCGTGTTCTTTTGGTTGGTTGGAAGAAGCGTGACTGAGTTTAGAACAGTGAAAGACTGAAGAGAAACATCTAGGTTTTCAGTGAGAATGGCCTGATATTTAGTGAACCTTTTTCTAGTCATCCATAAATATCTCTTGAGTTCTAAAAGAGCCTTTGCTTGACTTTGGTTTTGGCGGGGGTGGGGGATTGTTATTGTTATTGTTGCTTTGTTTTGTTTTTATTGTTTGATACTGGAAATCGAACTCAGGGCCTCGTGCTTTCCAGGCAGGCATTCTGTGCTGCTGAGCTACATCCCCAGCCCATTAGAGCCTTTACTCGATGTAGAGTTTGAACTAAGATTTTTTATCCTGAAGTTATCTTAGAAATTTCCTGGACGAAGAGTGCGGTAGTAGCAATAGGTAGCTAAGCCAGCCTTGTGATACTCTATCTAGTTTCCTAGAAGAGTAAGCAACTTGTTAGTCTTCCTACTTTAGATGTTGGGATGTACTCCTGTGGCTACTCTGTGACTCTCAGTCACAGAGGAAAAGGCTTAGTTAGATCTGGGATTCCTAATGGTGGTCTGTTTTAAGGATTTAAGAGCCTCTTGAGCAGCTGCTGCCCAATTTAGAGATTCTGTTCCTGGTCATCAAGTTGCTTCATATAACAGCTGGGCTATTACTCCAAAGTGGGGTATCCATAATGCACCAGAAGCCAACCATTCCCAAGAAACTCCTCAGTTGCTGTTTGTACTCTGAAGGACCCAGATGGAAGATTGCCTCCGTTTTCCTTGAAGTTGTTTTTGTCTTGGAATTCATATATATTCCAGACAAGTCATCTTTTGTTGAGAAATCTGAGCCTTGTATTAGAACACCTTATAATCCTGTTTTGTTAGAAGACTGA